CAAAAAAAACCCCAAACCTTAAACAAACAAGTAATGAAAACACTATATATCAGAGATAAATGGATACATTTCAAGTAGAGATCAGAGGAAAATTCAGAACCTTAAACACTTACATCAATAAAAATGAAAGAATGAAAATGAATGAATTATAGCAATGTAAGACATGAGACAAAGAACAACAAGTGAACGAAAAGAAAGCACAAGGAAGAACACAATAAAAGTAAGAGCTGAAAAATAATGAAGATTAGGAATAGAAAACAGTAGGGTCACATTTTTTTTTTTTTTTAATAGGCTCCACACCCAATGTGGGGCTTGAACACACGACTCTGAGATCAAGAGCTGCATGCTCTACCAACTGAGCCAGCCAGGTGCCTTAAAGCAGTATGTCAAAGTAATAAATCAAAATTTTGGTTCTTTGGAAAAAGTAACAAAACATTTAAACCACTAGCTAAATTAATCAAAGGAAAAAGGGGAAAAAAACAACTTCAAAAGGAGAATAAGAAGAAATAGACAAAAATGGAGCAAAAGGGAGGGGAGGAGTAGAGGGGGAAATCAAGCCTAAATCATTTTGGAACAGTATTTTGACTAAATCCAGTAAAGCTAAAGAAAAAAACAACCCTGAAAATAAATGTTGAACTCTATTAATAGGTTTTTTTTTTCCACATTGACAACAGTTAGATATTCTGAAACTGCTTTTGGGGTCTTTTAGTATGAGCAAATAAGTAAATATTTTGACAGTAATTGGAATCAGGTTTCTGACTGTTTGAGATGAGCCTTGCAGATGTGAAAAGGGGAACTCCAACATGTGCTCTATTGTATTGATTGGAATTGGATGTATCAGTATAAACTCATGGGTTTTAACATATCTATTTTTATCTATCTATCTATTGACAGAAATGGAAAGGGGTATAGCTAAATGTGAATATCTAGATCTACCTATATTTATAGATACCTTGCATATCTTATAGCAACAAGCACAAAAAAGTGCTTGAAAAATGGTGGAACAATTAAAAGGAAGGAGGAGAGGAAGGAAAAGTTCTTCCTCGAAGTAGACTGCCAACTAATATATGCAGAAGGGATGATGGAATTAAGAAGTCACCATTCGGCAGCATCATGGTAATAAATGATTTGGGCAAAATCCTCAACTGACTCTAGCAGTTTAATGAAGAACTTGGTATTTACATAGTCTCAAAGTATCTCCTCACAAAATTCTTAGTAGTTGGAAAGGAAGAACAGTAACTTTACAGTGGAGAAACTTGGCATACACCACCCTAACCAAGTGATCGCAGTTAACCTCACCATTGTTAAAATAGTCATTATGTACCTGCTCCTTTGATGAATGAGAAGGACAGAGCACTTCTCTTTTGGTGTTTCTGTCAAAAAGCCATGAATCTACTCATAAGGAAACCAGGAAACGGTTAGTCAAATCTAAATTGAGTAACATTCTACCAACTATCTGGCCTATTCTCTTCAACAATATCAAGGTCAGGAAAGACAAAGAAAGATGGAAGAAGTGTTCCAGATTAAAGGACAAGAAAGAAATATGACAGGGTGCCTGGGTGGCTCAGCTGGTTAAGCGACTGCCTTCAGCTCAGGTCATGATCCCGGAGTCCTGGGATTGAGTCCCACATCAGGCTCCCGGCTCAGCGGGGAGCCTGCTTCTCCCTCTAACCCTCTGCCTTCTCATGCTGTCTTTCTCTCTCTCTCTCAAATAAATAAATAAATAAAATCTTAAAAAAAAAGAGAAAGAAATATGACAATTAATGAAGAATGTTAGGTCAGATATTGGACCAGATTTTTTAAAATTTGGGGATTTTTTTGCTAAAAGGGATATTTTTGGGGCAATAACACAATTTGAATAGGTATTTTAGATTAGAAAATAGCATTTTATTAATAATAATGTTCTGATTTTGATTATTGTACTTCAGTTATGTAAGAGAATGTCCTTGTTATTAGGAAATATACACTATTTAAGAGTAAAGGGGTGTGATGTCTGCTATTTACTCTAAAATGGAAAAAATTGTATATGTAGAGGGAATCATACAACAAATATGGTAAAATAGAAAACAGTTAGGGGAATCTGGGTGAGGATAACTAGGAGTTCCTTGTACTATTCTTGCAATTTTTCTATTGGGCTATAATTGTTTCAATCTAAAAAGTGACAAGAAGGAAGTATTTAAAAATATTTGTAAGAACATGTAGGAGAATAATTTTGTTTTATAGGATTTTTTGAATTCACAGAAAGTACAAACCATAACGGGAAAGAATGATCTATTTGAGTAAAGTAAAATGACACATTCACATACAACAGAGAAGTCTGTAAGTGGAACTGAAAGACAAACCACAAACTAGGAGATGTTTGCTATGCCTAAGATTATATATAACATACTTTAAAAATTACAAATGATCAAATACGGAAATTAGCAAAGGATATAAATAGAGGAATCACTGAAGAAGGTAACAAGCATGTGAAAAGATAACCAACTGCATAGGAATTAGGGAGAAATGAATTAAAATAACAACCATATATCACTGAACACATAGTCAGATACTTGCTCAAAATTATACAATTGGATAATACCTATTATTGAAAGAATGAAGGGGAAAAGGAACTTTCTTAACTGGTTCAGCAATTCTGGAGATTGTTTACAAAGATCTAGTGAAGTTGGAGGTGTGAACAATTCCACCTTTAGACGCATAGATAATCTCTAAAGGAACAGGAGAGGGTTGTTCATTGCAGCATTGTTAATAACTAGTGAGAAATTGGAAGCAACTTAATTGTTATTAACAGATGACATCAACAGATGACAACAGAGGGATCAGTAATTTGTGGTATAATCATACAATGCATTTATTTTTTTTAAAGATTTTATTTATTTATTTGAGAGAGAGAGAATGAGAGACAGAGAGCACGAAAGGGAAGAGGGTCAGAGGGAGAAGCAGACCCCCCCGCTGAGCAGGGAGCCCGACATACAATGCATTTAAAATGAATAAAATATATCTACATGTGTTAACATGTAGAAATCTCAAAAAAAATCTTAGGTGGAAAAAGCAGGTAGCAGAAATTTATAGTGCAAAATTTATAGACACAGAAAACAATATGTATGTTGTAAACAAAGAAAACGGTGAGGTATGTTGTGAAAATTAGTAAAGGGAAACCTCACTAAAGTGGAGTTGGGAGGCTGGAAGAGGGAGCTGGTACCACTCCATGTCAATTACAGGAAGAATTGTCAATTACAGACCCTAAGGGAAGAACTCTCAGCAGAAAGAATGATCAATTACAGGCTTCAATAGGGAAAAGATGTACATTGTATCTCCTATAAGAAATCAACTACCCCTGCAATTCAGCCAATGAGAAACCCTAATCACCCTGAACTCTGCTTTTCTGCAATGGACTTTTGTTCAGAACAACCCCTCCCAACTTCCTCCTTCCCCATAAAATAACATTCCTCTCCTTTGTTTGTTAGACTTAGGGTTTTGCCTTAGCTAGAATGTTCCAAATTGCAATTCTTTGCCATTCCCAAATTGCAATTCTCTGTCGTTCCTGAATAAACCCATTCTTGGTGCTAAGGTAACTTTTATTTTTAAGGTTAACGTTGTCTGTGAGTAAAAAAGGAGAGAGAGTTCCTGTCCCGGAATAATTTGGCATTTGAAGAAAGTCAGGTCAGTCTGATGACAATGCACTACCACTGAAGCCACAATGAGACAGGGCCCCTAAAACAGATGGGGGAGTGGAGAAGATGAAGGAACATTTCCCAGAGATGGCAAAGGCTTCCATGCCTCCTTCCCACACTGAACCAAGTCCTGAAAAATAAGAAGGGGTTACCCAGGTGAGAGGAAGGAAGGGTGTTTCTGGCAGATAGTGACATTTGCAAAATCCACAGGGGAGAAACCGCAGAGCCCGGTTTGGAAACTGCCAGTGGTTTCTCAGAGCAGCTAGGGTAGAGGAGGTGGGGGCAAAGAAAGCGTAGGGTATTGGTAGGCAACCCCGGACCATAGGCTCTGACGGGGTTAAGGAGTCTGCCTTCTGAAGGCTGTGGGAAGGCTAGAAGAATGTTGAAGCAGAAGAGTAACAGGTGCATCACCAATTATAAGAGGATGGCTCTGGAGGGAAGATCAGTTAGTTGGGTTTTTTTTTTCTTTTTTCTTTTCTTTCTTCCTTCCTTTCCTTTTCTTCCTTCCTTTCCTTTCTTTCTCTCGCTTCCTTTCTTTTTCTTTTCTTTCTTTCTTCTTGTTTTAAAGAAAACCAGGCAGGAAATAATGGGGCCTCAACCGAGCCAGAGGAGGGGGTGACTGAGAGATACCGAAGTGTCCAAGCAGTAGGATCGGGGAGGGATTGTCTGTAGGTGTGGGGACAGGATTCCAGGAGGCTCCTGGCTCGGGCATCTTGGGTGCATGATGGAACGACAGGGGCTGCCTTTTGTGCCACCTACCCCTGCCCCTGGCCACCCTAATTAGACCAGGAACGAGCACCTTACACATGTTTAGCTCAAGTATAAAAACGTACAGAGGAAGGACCGAGGATGGTGGTTAGGACTGAACGGGTTTTCATGGGGTGGGGGGGGGGGGGGGTGGTTTTTGGATCCATCTCGAACATTTTAACTACAAAATAAAAGCTGATGTAAATGTTACATTAGGCGCTGTTACATTTCTGAGAGCACGCGGATGTCACATCGTTTTCTGCACTCTTCTGTGTTTGAACTAAACATAATAAGCAAATGGCCAAAGTGCGTCAGAATCGGAGGAGCCTAAGCTCTGTAAAGGGGTTAAAGCAGAAAGCAGCGGGGGCTGGGAGTGGTGTGGTTGTCAGTCTTTGTGTGCACAGCGCCTGTGGAGAGAAAAGCCTCGGGAGACCTGCACTCCGCTGCGGGGTGAGGGTGGGCGGGGGAGGAGGAGCGCGCGGGGAGTTTCCCGCCTGGCCCCGCCCCCTCCGGCCCGCCGCAGCTCCTCCTCCTTCCGTGACGCCGCCTCCCGTTTCTAGGTAACGTGGGGGGTGTTAAACAACGCGGCCGCAAGGCGGCCGCTCCCTGCCGGCCCCTCTTTTCGGCCCCTTGACCCTCGGACGCTGAGAGCCATGGCCTTGCCGCTGCTGCCTGGCACCAGTTTCAACCGCAACGTGAGTAGTGAGGGCGCCCGAGGTCAGAGGTCCCGGCCAGAATCTGGGGTCCGGGCGTGGCCACCTCCCCCGACCCTACTCAAGTATCCTGCTGCCGCTTCACCCCTGCGCACTGGGCACAACTTGGACCAAACTTTGTGGGCGGGGGGAACACTTACTCTCTGTCTCACCTTTTCCCAGTTTCTTCTAACTGCATCTGGATGCTTGAACGACATCAGATACAGAAGTAGAGTCTTCACAGGTGGCAGGACCCGCGAAGGTAGCCAGTGGTAGTGACGTGATAAGAGTCATCGTTGAGCGTTTAAGATATGCAAGGTGCTGTGCTTTAGTCGCCCGGCACGGCATTTGCTGCTTAGGTCCTATTTTTATTCCCATTTTGCAGTTGAGGAAACTGAGGCACGGGGCGATGAGTCACTCCCTCACTGGCCAGAGCTACACAGTTTCAGTGTGAAATTGGCTTTCTCCCAGGCAACCTGTTTCCACAGCCCAGGTGCCTAGTCATTGTCCTTAATAGCCTGTGTGAAAGAGAGAAATAGAGTTGCTGTTACGAAAGCCAAGAAACCTGGCCCTCTGGAGGCTGCTGGGGGCCGAGAGGGAAGGGTTCCATCAGCCTGTAAAGTTCGGTCCTAAGCTTTATAGAGAGAAGCATCCAAACCTGGAGGAGTTTTTTCTTCGTTGAGGATTGGGAGGAGTTCACTTCAAAACAAGATGAAAGTACAAAACAACACAACACGACAACACAAAAAACCCTGAGCACCAAAGAATCTTGCCAGTAATAAGTAGCCCCTTATTTAAACAACAGCAGAAAAGTGATTCGTGCTTTTCTTTACACTGGTCACCACTCTTCCCTTGGGTTTGCCAGTTGCGTCTTCGGAAGAAGGTAGGAGATAACACGGGTGGGAGGGAATTCGAGGGAGCCCCTCAAGGTGTTTGTGTAAACCTCTGGTAAATTTAGAACGCAGCAGGGGATTGAATGAAGCGTTTGACTTTCTGGATTCCGAGGTGTCTGTTTTCAAGTTGTTGGCCCTAAAGTCCCAGTTTCCTTTGTGGCTTCAGGCCACTAGATTCTGACCTCCACGGGTCGCTTGGCCGGACCGAGTTCCTTGTTAAACCGTGGTTTGTCCATTTTTTTGGCTGATGGGTAGACGCCGGCCTTCCTGCCCAGCATTGCCCTTTGCTAAGATTCAGCCAGCCACACCAAGGAAGAAAGACCCTGAGACGCAGGACACGCAAAAAGATTCCAGAAGTAAACAAGCATGCAGTGTAGGAGTAAATTTAATAAAAATTGAAAGTAGAGCCCACAGCTTTGGGCCCCGCAACACTTCAGATGACCGATGTCCTCCTACTGCAGAAGTACCACAGCTCCCACATGCAGTGATGAAGAATAGGAAGGAAAAGCAGGGCTTTGATGAGATATTTTAAAATCTGCAAAGCTGTACTGAGTATACTTTGTTTTATTGTGAAGTACAACACGTGCAGAGAAATGCATAATGGATGAACACCAAGTGAACATCAAGAAACAGTATTACCAGTACTCCAAAAGCCTCTCCCTTGACTGGGGTTGCCAGATTTAGCAAATAAAAATATATGTCCCCAATACTGAGTGGGACCCACTTAGACCGAAAGCTTACTTGTTTATCTCAAATTCAAATTTAACTGGACATCTTCTATATTATGGGGCAACCCTGCCTATGGCTCTTTCTTGTCATTACCCCCTTTGCTCTTTACTGTCCAGAGTTAACTATCCTGAATGCGGGGACTGTGGTTAGGTTTTGCTTGCTTTTGAACTTGGTATCAATGTAAATGTCTGGTGTCTTTTGTGACTGGCTTGTGTTGAGCTCAGTGTTATGTTAGATTTGTTCATGGGGCTGTCTGCAGAGGTAGTTTGCCCATTTTCCTTGCTCTGTAGTATTCCATTGTGTGAGTATGACATCATGTATATACCCATAGATAGAGATTTGGCTTGTTTGGGGTTATTAAGAATAGTTTGCTGTGACTATTCTTGTCCGTGTCTGTCGCTACAATTGCTAGATCATATGGTTTTCTTTTTTTTTTTTTTAAAGATTTTATTTATTTATTTGAGAGAGAGAGAATGAGAGACAGAGAGCAGGAGAGGGAGGAGGGTCAGAGGGAGAAGCAGACTCCCTGCCGAGCAGGGAGCCCGATGCGGGACTCGATCCCGGGACTCCAGGATCATGACCTGAGCCGAAGGCAGTCGCTTAACCAACTGAGCCACCCAGGCGCCCCATATGGTTTTCATATGTCCGGCTTTAGTAGACACTGTCAAAGTGCTTAAACCAATTTAAATCCCCAGCAGCATGTTATGTTCCGGTCGCTCTACATCCTAACACTTGGTATGGTTGGTCTTTTAAACTGTAGTTATTTCGATCAACAAGTACAGGGAAACTGTAGTTTCAATCTGCGCTTACCCGATTCCTAATGAACTTGAGGATGATTTACACATTTATTGGTCATTTGGATATTCTCTTTGTGTAATACTTGTTTGTCTCTTGTCTACTCTTTCTCCTGGGTTGTCTGCCTTTTTTTTACTTAGTGAAATGTAGGAGTTCTATATAGACTTTGGATGTGACCCTTTTGTCCAATATCTGTGTTGGCAAATATCTTCTAGTCTGTGGCTGGCCTTTTCACTTTCTTAGTGGTGTTTCTGATAAGTAATTGTTCCTTTAGATTAGTGATTTTTGTTTTTTCTTTAAGAAATTGCTGCTTATGCCAAATATGATGGTATTTTTCTGTGTTGTCTTCTGGAAATTTGGTTGTTTTTACCTTTCACATTTAGATTTCTAATCTAGTATAAATGTGTGTGTGTGTGTATGTATGAAAAGAAGTAGGGGTCCGGTTATATTTTTTCCTATATGGATATTCAGTTGACCCAGAACCATTTGTTAGCACAGTTCAACAGAGTAAGTTTTAAAGATCTCACTGGCTCTATGCCATGACTCATGAATTGACAGTATCCAGTTTAGCAGACAGGAGAGCTTTGAAGAGCTCTCCCAGGAAGACATTTTATAGGCCTAAGGGGGGCATTACACTAGGCAAAAATTAGATTGGTTACTATAAGTTTACTTTCCTTGTGGGATATGATAACAAGGGCTTTTTAGGCAGATTACCTAACTCATGCTGATCAGGCAATTCATGATTGGCTGGTTTAAGATTCAATTTCTGGGACAGCCAAAACTAAGTTAAGTTTCAGTTTTTGACATGGGGCTTAGTGTGATCGACTCCATTTAGGGTCTGTTGTCTTGTCTTTAACACATTTTTGGAAGAGACCACCCTTTCTCTACTTCTCTGCAGGGCTGCTACCTTTGTCACAAGTATCCAAATACATGTGGGGCTGCTTCTAGATTTGTGACTATATTTAAAAAAATTATTTACTTTATGCTTCAGACCAAAAGGAGTGTGTGTGTGTGTGTGTGTGTGTGTGTGTGTATGAATTAGGGAATGACAGTATACTTATTAGATATCTTGGGCTGTCATTTAACAAACTAGTATTTATATATTGAGTATATATATATTTGTCATTTAACAAACTTGTATGTGCCTAATTCAGATGGCTGCATTTGCACTAACCTTGTTACTGACTGGTGCCAAAAAACTAATATTATTTTAAAAACTTGTGCTTAGTTAAAAGATCATATGTTCTCTGGTGCATAGAGTGGTCAAAAAGTCAGTAGAGCCAAATCTGGCTTTTTTTTTTTTAATCATCCCCCCCCCACCCCCCACCTCCTGGAGATAGCATAATTACTGGCTGTTTGGGTTTAAAATTATAACACAAGCTAACTTTTATTGCTTTTCTTAGAAATTAAAAAGGAACTTGTTTCTCCCCCTGATTAGCTGCTGATAGTCATGAGCAATAGATTGATTTCTGCCCACAGCTAGGTGATGCGCAGCCTGTATTTCTATCTCCGAAATACAAGAAGTATGGTGCTTTCTAAAATATAAGCATTTGTACCACTGATGACATTAAAATTATTTTGATGTGAATTAATTGAAAACCTTAGGGAAAGGTCACAGCTAAATTCCAGACAACACGGTATTTTTTTCCAAGAATTTACATCCTGCATTTATTTTGAGCTAAGAGAATCTCAGGCACATTGTCAAAAATAATAGGATATTAAAGTTAAAAGGGATATTTCCAGACAAAGCTAAAAATCTTTTCTATAGCATTTTGGACAGATGGCTGGCTAGCTGATCCTGAATGCCCCTAATGAATAATGAGGAGTACACTTTCTGTTTTTTATGAAGCTACCTTGCCACCATCTTAGGAGGGTTTGTTGTCAATAGTCTGTCTCTAATTTATAGTGAAGCAACTGTTTCCTTGGACGAAAATAAACTATTTGAATTCATAGCAGTAGAATAAAACAGAAATTCAGAATCTCTCTGCCTCTCTTACAAAAGGGTGTGGGCAATACCTTGAAATTTATTTTTATCTAGACTAATATAAGCCTACTTACTAATATATAAGGAAAAGCGTTCTTTGGGAAATTTACCAGCAATTTAAATGATAAACAGCTGAAGGACACACTCTGAGTAATACATAGTATACATACTGACTTCCTCATGGGATGGTAGATAAATCAATGTAAATTTAGTGCAATGACAAAAATAATCATGAAACAATGACTCTATGCACAGGGTGGAGGTTTTTCCTGATCTAAAATTCTGCTTATGGATTTCTGGTTATATTCTTAGTGGTTAATTCCATTGCCTTAAAATAACTTGCATCAGGTGCAAACCCCTCAACCTGGACACTCGAGTCCATTAGAGTTTGCCCGTCACCTTATGAGATCAATTTAATGAATCATGGCCAGCATTTAAAAAAAAAAAGAAAGAAAGAAGCAAAATGGACTAGAAAAGAATAAAAAAATCAGAGTAATGTGTGAGGGCATGGGAAGAGTAAGTATCCTTTCGCGGACTTTTGCTTTCTGCCACGTGTGCAAGTGAACTGGGTTGCACTCAAACCTGTTTGTTATTGTGGTAGC